GTTGTCCTGCCCAAACTTCACCTTCAGGTCTTGGCAGCTCATGCTCGCCCTATCTTTGAGAATGGTACACAGGGCAGTTCTCCTTAAGCCTAGTTCACACTAGCCCAAGCTCGGCAACCGTCAGGCTGGAATCGGGGGTAAATCGGCGGTCGATCGGTGGTCGCCTGTCGTTATGTGTGAACTACTCAACAACGCATCAAAACGTCTCCCTGACACGTTTCTGACACATCGCCGACGTCTGCCAGATATCTATCATGCCAAATATCTGGAAGAGTTGGCTGACAAGACATCCACATCCAGCCAATGAGAGCAGGCAGCTACTTTTTCACCGTAAAATAATAAAGAAAGTGGAAAGATTAATTGCCAAACCAAAGCGGAGTGGATACATATGTTGGTTTTGTTTCGTATTTAGATGTATTCTGTGTTATGTGCACTAACTTTTAGGACACGTGTATATGTTGCATGCCTCTCCCTGCAATGGAAGCAGGGGGAAGGGTCAGCCCGGTTATCTTGCAAAATACCTCCAAAGCTCACTAATTAGGACATGTCTTGTTTAACTTTGAATTTTATCTTAGAAGCATGAGGCAAATTGTTCTCTGCAAGATGTTCATGAATGCACACACTGGGATAAATAAAGCCTGGGATAAACTGAGACATACTGCTCGGAGGCAGTTCTTTGTGAAGCACACCTGCTGTCTGCAGACGTCAGGCCTCGGCCTCGATGACCTCATCTTTCATCGTGGCGTGTTGGAGCTGTGGAAGGGGAACAGGCTGATGCAACTGCCACTTAAATATACATGAGAACATGTTGAATAATTACTGCGCTCTTACAGAGTCTCTTCCGTCGTGACTGACAGAGACAATGTGGGAGAAGCCAGTTTAATGGTTCGTCAGCTTTTGGTATAAGAGCACTTTCCCACAGGACGGACTGAGAATACTGATACACCAGTGATTGGAAAATTAGACCGGGTCAGGTCTAGTCCAGGTCAGGGGTTGAACTTCTTGTTAAAACCAGTGGAGTTGCCCTCTGCCGGCCGTTAGATAGAATGCAGACCCTTCAGATTCTGTGACTAAACCCATTCCTCAATTATATATTCCTTTAGTCTGTACAGGTCCTCCGATCAAAAGAATCAACTTTTCATAAAAATGAATCTTGTCCTGAGAATACTGTCACGTGCCACACGTTACTCTGCATCCTGCACCTGATGTTAGGTGTTTGTTTTCGTTACCTTGCTGCCTACTAAGCCGTCTATCGGAGCTAGATCAAACGAATGATTTTATACACTTTTCATACAAGTAATATTCATACTGGTTGAAACAGTTTGATAGCAGCCTATTTCAGTTTTGTGGGGAAGGAATTAAAGGCCTGTCCCAAATATAGGAAGGTTAAATGCAGTGATTTTTCTCAAATAAAAGCCAAGGCTATGAATTAAAAAATTAAAAAATAATTAAAAAGCAAAACATTTGAAGTCGTTGCTCTCTAGTAGCTGCGGTGCTAATCCAGTTCAGAACTATTGTTCATTCTGCAGCAAATGGGCCAAATAAAACCTGTAAACACTCTGATGTGTTTCTTCCTGACTGCTAGCTGTTTCCTTGTAGACAGCACAGCGGAGTCGGAGTGCCGCTCCGAGGGCAGATACTGTGGTGATGACTCATGTTGAAGGTTGGACTCTCTCAGAGGAGACGGTGAACAGAAAGAGCACAGGGGGTGTGTGTGTGTGTGTGTGTGTGTGTGTGTGTGTGTGTGTGTGTGTTCGCACAGCTTATCTCCTCCGTGCATATCTGCCTGATGTCTCTGCTGCTTATTTTCACGTTCACCTGACGCACACACTGACACACACACACATGCGCGCGCATGCATGCACATAGGCACACAGAAACACAAAGACACAAAGGAAGACACACACCTTCATCTTGCCACAGGCTGTCAGTTGTCCTTGTCATGAGCATGATTCATAGCTTGAGGTTGGAACTGTTCCTGTACTGTTCTGACTTCACCTGCTGAGAAACAGCACGACACACATGCCTGTCTTGTGTGTGTGTGTGTGTGTGTGTCTATATATAGACACACACTCACACACATTTAGACATTATTTAGACAACAAGCTGAGAGCATTTTCAGTTTCACTGTTGATTTTTTTGCTGTGACACTAAAATAAAAACATTTCTTGTCATCTTTCTTAAAACTGCTGTTCTTGAATCAGGTTAATAAAGATGGATCTTTTCTAAACTGATAAGGAGAAACAGGATATTCTCACATGCCTGTAGTCGTGTCCATCCATGCAGATAGTTTTGGTTGTGTTTGTCCCTGTTCTGAGATACCTATCTATGAGACTTCTCCTCCACACAAATACCTAGAGCACAAAAATTTACATTTAAATAAGTCAACAGCAATGTGTCGTTCTAGAAATGGTTTTTGAGATAACCTGCAGACTTTGCTGTGTGCAGTTTTATTGGAACTACTTCTACTAAAGAAGTAGCCCCTATATACAGTATTTTCTGTGGATTATTGAGTGTAATGGCAATTTTTCCTTAGCTTTGATTTCCAGTATCTTCTATCTATCGTACACAGATAGGTAGGTAGTGAAGTTTTACGTAGACATAAGATTTTCCAGTCATTATTGCAGTTGTAAATAGTATAAATAGATGAAAATACCGGTTGATTTCTTTTTTGTTTCCAGTTGTTGTGTGTATTCTGATCTGTGGTCTGGTGAGAACTGTGTGTGCTCCCCCTACCTGTGACTTCCTGTCACCTATGCCCCCCTATATACAACCATGTGCATCTAATCACTGCCACCCAGTGTCCAAAATACCAATATAAATATATCCAAACAAAATACAAAATCATGCCAACATGTCTCCTACAGCGAATAATAGGGACCCCTTTTTTCAGGCGTTTGCGTGAACCAACCCTTTAAATAAGTGAAGCTAAACTTGTTGAAAGGTGTTGCTGTGGTGTTATATTAAAATAGCACTGATGAAGTCATTCATAAAGAAATCTGTTCATTTCAAACAGAGCCTGATCATCCCTCACACTGTATGTTCTCTATAGCATGCAGACATGTCTAGTATATGAACATAGCTGAGCTTCCTTTGTCCTTCATGCATGGATTAAGTTGGCGAGGGTGTGAAGGGTTTTCCCATATAGATGAGACATTCCATGTGTTCCCCTTTCTTGGATAATCCCCTTAGTTATGAGACAGGGCTTTAAGAAAATTGTACCAAATATTAAGACTTAAAGGTACCTGGTGTTAGCATGTGTTAGCGCTTTCTTTTTATTACGTCATCTTTTCCATTTATTTATTTAAATTTCTCTTTATCTGTGAATTGTTGCTACAATTTTCTTCATTCCCTTTCTGACTCTGTCGTCTTCTCTCTGTCTTCACTTCACTTCACTTCACTCTTTCTCCTTTTCTTTCTCTCTGCTTTCATCTCTTGATCCTCTTTAAGTTGAGAAGGAGAGGCCTAAGCTGAAGGAGAGTCACTGGATGTGTTGGTGGAAGAAAGCGCAGAGCCGAGTCGAGCTGGCAGGCGAATCGTAGCTGAGGTCCAGGTGAGAGGCGAGTCCGCTCGGCTCGGCTCGGCTCCACGCGACTCTGCCATGTGCTTGTTTGAACCACAATAGAAATGAGGCACGGCAAAAAATTACTATTTGTATGGTTTTGCTTGCAGCCGAACACGAAAGCAACACACAGAAAGAAAGAGAAGATCACGGCTTTTTTTTCCTTATGTGCCTGCATCATAAACTGTATAAAAAAAGTCCGCAGCAGCAGCATCAGCCGACTTTACACACTACAGCAGCTACGGCTGCTTCAGGTGTAGTTGGTTTGATCGGCCGGACATGCAGCCTCTCTTTTCCTCTGTTTGCTTCTTTAGAGTCTTTAGTGCAGTTAAGTGACTTGTTTAAACAGACTCCTTACTCGTTGAGGTTTGACTCACTAATAAAGGAAAAAGCAGACATCTTTCAGTTCGGTTTATTGATAGAAAGTTAACCAAGTAATTTACTTTGTTCGGGCTACTTTTAACACACGTATGAAAAAATTTACTTAAATAAGGTTCCCACAACTTATTTGTTCACCAAACTATTTCACTCCTCCTCTCTTATTCAGATATATTACTCAATATGTAATACACAAATCTTTTATGTATTGTATAGTTATTTGAACAAGAAATAAATAAATAAAAACCTTGCTTGTCGTAACTACAATAATAATAATAGGCTACCAATCAACTACTATGGCTTCAACAGGTGGCATTTTACGCAAGGTATCGAATGAAGTACTCTACTGGTATTGGTATCACTTTAAGGGTACTGGCTTTGGTACTGGGATCATGAAATTTTAGATGATACACGACTCTAGCTGGGTCATTATGCAATGCCATCAAATGCTGGGTCGCTTTTCATCAATTGTGCGTCATGAAAAAGTCCTTATATAGGCAAATCCCGCAATCGGCAGCCATCTTGATGTAACTCCTTTGGGCAGTTATATTGGATTAACATTATCAGGCCCCGCTCTAAGTGAATGGACATAAAAACTGCTTGGATAGAATCACCAGTAAAATCTGATAAAAGCCGCTGAAGAAGTGTGATGATTTTAAGAAGTGTTTCTTTTCATCACAGGTTATAAGGTTTCACAATCCAGACTTGATTTACGGCTTTCATTGTGGTCGCTTACCTCCCTTGGCAATACAGCGCCTTCGTGTGTTATCCTCCCCCCCATGCGGATTAGAAGTGCATCTGATCTGGTCACACACCTGCTCCTCGCTGCCACCACAACATTTGAAACTGTCGCGAACCTCAACTGCGCGTGAACCACACGATTGGCTTGATATGTTTCCCGATTGGCTTTTTTGTGGGAGGGACGGGGTATGTGCGACACTGTGTCACAGTAAAAGAAAGAGCACAGACGTGTGATATATGTCAACAATGTCAGGTCATGTATTACCTCCTGCTCAGGCTCAGTAGCCAAGGCCTCAAAGATTATTTATTAATATTTAAGTTTGTTGTAAAGAAACATTTTATTTGAAGTACATCATTCTGACAAAATAGTCTATATGAGCTTAATACATGCGTGTAAGAACGATAACACAGGTACACGCCACTCAAAGCTACGTGGCAAACTAACGAGTGCCTTCCACACCAGTGTTATTTTGCTGCTGTCTGTTTAGAATTGAAATCATTTTTAGTCGCAGTCCCAGCTGCTTGTTAGACTTTGCAATGAGGCAGCAATCATATTGTTGATAGCAAAAAAAAGCAAAATCTGTCTGCTGCTGAAATGTTTCTCTGTTTTCTCTGTCAAATGTGAAGGGCAGAGAGGAAGCCGGGAGGGTTACAGGTCTGACTCGCCATCTCGCATCTCACACCTCAGCAGAGGCGAGATTCGACAACTCCAGCGGAGCGTCCTGTGATGAGATTGAAAATATTATGCAGAGGGTGGGATGGTGGGGCAAAGAGCAACGCTGTGATGGACAGAATAAATATATCAAGCCAGAGTGTAATAACAAAACGCACACAGGGGATAGAGGCGGTGAGAGAGGGGTGGAGGGAGATGGATGAAAGTAGAGCTGGAGGTGAAGTGAACATCCCCGTCTAGCCTTGTGTACCTGCTGTCTGCTCTGTCAGAGGAAGGAAAAGGAAAAAGAAACATTCACTGATTAATGCCACACAAACGCTTCACTTTACATTCTTTTCTTGCACGTTTTCCACTGTTTACACAAGTTATCCCAATTTATTTTCTCTTAACTTTTGGGTTTGCTTTTCATTGCTACGCTGATGATTTACAAATATACATGCCAGTTATTGCAGGAAATGCATCTGATTCGGTTAAGTTATTGACTTGCTTGGCTGCTGTGAGGAGCTGGTTATCGGCAAACTTCCTGCTACTCAACTCCACAAAAATTGACATGATAGCTATTTGACCAGCTAGATCAGCTCATTTGTATCTCTCCACTGATGATTCGGTCATTCATTGCAAGGATAGAGTAAAGAATCTTGGGGTTTTTGATCGATCACTTTCGCTTGATTTGCATATTAAAGCGAAAGGTGACAAAAGTAGCCTTCTTTCATCTCCGAAGAATCGCAAAGATTAGATCGATATTGGCACTTAAAGATGCTGAGGCTCTTATTCATGCCTTTGTCACATCTAGGCTGGACTATAATTGTAATGTGCTGTTCTCTGGGCTGCCAAAGAGAAGTTTGCGAGGTCTGCAGATGGTCCAGAATGCTGCAGCACGTATTCTGACTGGATCATCTAAATACACGCAGGTAACTCTTGTGCTGGCCTCACTGCACTGGCTCCCTGTTCAGGTTAGAGCAGATTTGAAGGTTTTGTTGTTAACGCACAAAATAGTGAACGTTTACCTTTGCTGTCTTTGTATAGTGGTATTTACTTTTCACTGTTTCAAATTAAGTATTTTAGTTATATTGTTTTTGTAAAGCACTTTGATTGAAAGCGCTCTATAAATAAAATTATTATTGTTATTATTAACTTCTCTGTGTCACTTGGAGACACACTGAATTGTCCTGAAAGTTTCCTCAAGTGGCGATCAGAACAAGGTCATTATCTTTATCTTTGAAGCCTTTTCTCTAGTTAAACTCAACCATGAAATTAAAGCACAAAGCCTTGTGTAGCTCGGCCCAAAATGTTTTCAAATGCAGCTAATTTATTCTGTCTCTGACGTTGGGAGGTGTTTTTGATTTGTTTTCACACTCAAATTTATTCTGTTTGTGGCAGAAGAACATGTTACACAAGCTGCCAAAAACACTTGTGTGTTAAACTTGGTTTACTTGGTACTTTAAGGGCTGATTAGCTCTTAAGGACACACTATAAATGGACTTTCAGAAACTCGCTAGCCTAGCAACAGGAGCCTACAAATAACAGTGCTGCTTTTTCTTAATCTACCTGGCTCAGGGACCAGTACTTGCTCCATTCACAGAGAACACCTGTTATAATTATGAAATGTTTAGTTCTCAAATGAAATATAATTCCTACTTTTTCAAATGTTATTTCGGGATAAAAATACGATGCCTCCTGCAGTGCAAACCAAATTGTGTAGAAGTGCACCTAGATAGTCTTACCAATCAAAATTCGATGCAACAGTAGTCAATACACATCAACCAAATAAAAAATAGAAGACAGAAGAACATATAACATACAATAAAATTAGTCAGATTTGTTATCTGTTGAGTGATTATTTGATCAGATAGTTTATGATTAACGACGTCACCCTGGTTAGGGATGCAAGGGAGAAAAATAACTTGGTATTGGGGTTTTGACTGCATTTTAAACTGAGCTTATAAGTAAAGACGTCACTGACGACCAACAACCAGGATAAAAAGGTCTTCTGGAGCAATTTACTGCAAATTACTTTAAAGAGTTTTAAAGTTTTGCCAGCACAGTAACTCTCAAAGTCGCCTTTTGTTTTTTATGATCTTACTCCTAATGTGGTCTGTAATTGCAAGATTTAAATAGGCTAATAAATAATTGAAGCATGCGACTGGTCTCACATAATAAAAGCTCTTTATGCACCACAGCAGGAGTTTCAGGGGGACTGATTTCATAACAAACACTTACATTTTGTAGAATTAAAATCATTTCCTATTAGCTGTGCAGCCGTTGGGCTCTATCTGCTGCTCCTCTTTCCTCATTTGTTATTGCTGCAACCTTTACAATATTTCCTTACGGTGACGGACTTTAATTGGGTGAAAATGTGAGAAGTGTAGATTCAACAGTGCAGCAGCCCTGAGTCACTGTCCAGCCGCCACTCAGCCCGTAATTACCCGCAGCCTCCTCTGCATATAAGGCTCCTACATCTCTTTTCTTGCTTTCCGGTCTGCCTGGTTTCTTTTTACCACATTTGTTCATTTTCTCCATCACCTACTTGTTCTATCTGGCCTGATATATTAACCGTTTTCTTATTCTTTGCAGCCTTTTTCTCCATCTTCGGGTTTCACCTCCTACCTTATTAGCAGCAAAGGGCTTTTAGCCTTCAAGCCAAGCATGGAAAAGGAGCGCTTTGGATGGATAGACCCATGGTTTTTTTTTCCTGTGTGTGTGTACGAAAATATTAACCTGACTCCATTTCCAGCCCTGCAGATGTTCCACTACTTTGCAGCTAATGGGAAGAAGTCAGAAGGGGTGTTCATTTTCTTATCGTCTCCCTTTTTTTTCCTCTTTTCTGTTGGACTGTATTCGGCTAATTACCTCCTGCCTGCACATGACAATCATCCACAGAAACACACTCCGTCTCACACACCAGAATAAGGTTTACTGGTTCATTTGCTTCCACTTGATTCTTGACTATATTGAGTTAATTGCCTGCCAATAGACACACACTCTTTCTCATGCAAAAAGTCACCTCCTGCGGTGAGATCCAGCATGACTGACTGCAGACAGCAATTAGGGACAGACCATGAAAAATTAAGTGTCTGCATGCGATCGGTGCACATTTTGTATGCACAGAGGGAAAACAAAGTACAACATCAGCCGAGGCTCCAGGCAGCTCGTTCCTCTGAAATAATTAGCCAGCATCAAGAGGTTTGATTTTCAGTCTTTTTCTGTTCAGTGCTTCAAGTGGAAATTAGAACTTTTTTTTTATCTCAAGGAAAACTTATTCCATTTGTTCTGCCCCTTTTGCCTTTAGAAGAGTTCAGACATGCATTTAAATGAGAATTAATGTGTGTGTGGAGAGAATCGCAACTGTCATTATCAGCTAATTATGACTGATTAACACAATTTAATGATTTACAATTACTCGCGTTAGTATAATTGAGTAGTGTACTTGTACTTTTTAAGTTGTTTTTAGTTCTGTAGTTACTTTTACTTAAGTATGTTTTGTTTGAAGTATTGAACTTCGCTACATTTTAAATACTGAGTAAAAAGTTTGTGCGTGGCTCACAGAGAGGTCGGTGATCGATCTTCTGGCTGGATGACGTCCGACGCTCCTGTTTACACATGATCCATGATGATAAGGAAGATTTAGGACAGAATGGCAAAAATAGCATGTCGTGTCTTATTAAGAGGAGCAGAGCTCCACTGTAGTTCGCACCCTGCTTGTCCCACAGGTAGTTGGTAAAAGAAGTTTCATAGTTTGGTAAGAGGCTTTGCTCAGATGAGCCAAAAAGACGTCGTTCATGACATCGATAATGTTGGTTTGTGCTCCAAAAGGCTGTGATTTAATTAAATATATTATAATAAGATATTAAATCAGTATAAATAAGTTACTAACGTTTACTGTGAGTAAATTTTAAATGCTACCTTTTACTTTTACTTGGGTAGATTTTTATCCCACTAACTTGTACATGTAGTAAAAATTCATCATGTAACAGTACTTTTGCTTAAGTACAATATTTTAGTACTCTTTCCACCTTTAGGTCCTTGTTTATGTTTTAAAACTCAACTGCGTACAAAGGTTCACACCTTTAGGGCATAACTAAAGGTAGGTTTATGCTCGAGGTAAATTCATATGACTTCATCATATATCTTGCATCGAGAGCAAAGGCTCTGCAAGTCGTCACGCTGTGCGGTCACGCACCTCTGATTTGTTTTGTGACTAGGCGCCCACTGTGCTCCCTTCGCTTTTCATTTCACCACTCGAAATGAGGAATCTCAGTTTGGAGGAAACCTGCAGCAAAGAGAAGTTAAATTTAAAAAAACACCAGGTGCTATTTGATGCGGCCTCTCGCTTTTGTCTTTTTAATAGCCGTAAACAGATCAATTCTTCCTCAGCATTTAGGAGCTATAGGGCAGGTTGTGTTGAGCATTAAAGAGTGTGCGCTCGTAGCATTAAAGAGTCTTCATCCAGAAGAAAATACATATATTATTTAGAGGATGCACATTAGGGCTATGCAGTATTCACAACAATAGTAAGGATATTTTCCAATATTAATATATTCTTAATGTCAAGCTAATGTTTAAAACTGAACTGTGTTATAGTTATTCATGAGATTAAACTCTTCATAGACATAAGAGAAAAACTTTTGCTTCCTTGCGTTAAGTTTCACAACATCATCAGTGAGTTGGGAGGAAGTTTGAGCATCTTGGGATGCTGTATTGATGTTTTCAGCCTTTATTTTAAACGGGCTTATGTTAGAGACGGGCCTTTTTGTCTAATTTACCCAGTTTGATAAGTTTAATGATCATATTTAAAGAGGTGGTATTATGCTTTTTGGCTTTTCCCTCTCCTTTAGAGAGTTAGTTATATTCCTTTTTTGTGCATGTAACAGGTTTGCAAAGTGAAAAAGCCCAAAGGGAGTTCACAGAAAACTCTGCTCTGAACCGAAAACAGCTTGTTTGTAGTCCAGCCACTTCCCTTTCGCCCCTGTGACGTCACAGGGATGAAAGCTAAACGCGCCTCATATAACGCTCGCCAAGCGGCTACTCCGACACGCCCTCAGAAACAGCGAGCTGCAGCTCACAGCTCTCCTCTCCCTTCCAAACACTAGCTACCCTCCAGGCAGTCAGTGGACATAAAGTTGTTCCTGTGATGTAGAGACAGAGCTCAGTTAAAACTTTATGGATACAGATTAATAACTCACCGCTCTGAAACTCTCGCTCCAGTCCGTGTTGCCAAGCTGGTCGGCAACACGTACGGCTACCATGCTTTATTTTTTCTTTTCTATTGATGCCACATTTACCTTTTTATTCTGACCAATTGAGGAATGGGATACATTTCCCACAGCAAATACTTTATCAGTACAGCAACAGAGTCACCCCGTACTCACCACTGTACTTCTCTCAGTTTCTCTTCACTATTAGAATACAGTTGCTTCTACTTTGCAGCTGCTTCCACGATGGGAAGTTGACACTTCCTGCACAGATGTTTCACATTAAAACCCTCCCTTTCCCTGGTACTGTAGTTTGATGTGAAACAGTTTTACGCTTTATTCACGGCGTCTTAACACTGCCACAGTAGAAGCAAATCAAAATCTATCTTTCTATCAAAAATCTTTCTGGCAATTATTTAAGTACCAACTTTTATTTTACATGCCCTTTTAGTGCTTTGCTTATATAAAGCTGAAGCAGACTCTCATGAAATGGCCCTGTTGAAACGGATCCGGTACCCCCCCACCCACCCACCCCCATCTTCCTCACTGCTTCATTAAGTGTTTCTGTGTCATGTCTGGGTATGAGATAAGACAAGATGACAATTTAATGGTGCCAGTAGGGATGGCAGCAAGAAATAGATTCTGCAAAGAAAAATCGATTAAAATGCAGAGCCAGAGGGCATTTTCACAAACAGTCTGAAGCACAAGTGACAGTTACAAATGCAGAACTTCTGCACTACAAATGAAAAAGTGAAAAGGTGAAATGTAGTGTGTTTTATGCCACTGTGTGATAGAGAGAGAGCTTACTGTTGGCTCCAGCCTCGATATCACACCCACTTAAGATGCCACAGCACGCTCTCAGCCTTTCATTCAGTCCTGTGTTGACGTGCGAGAGGCAGCCTGCTAATGGAGAGAAAAGTCGTGTCCATTAGGCATCAGCTTGTAATTACTCGATAAGAAGTTGTATTTATGTCTTTTTAGATTCATTCTTGTTTTGATTTTCAGTTCAGTGCAATACTGTAAACAAGATGTCAACTCTAATCTAATAGTTTATGTAAAGAGTGTGAACAACTAATTTGTCTTGGAGCCAGGTAAAAACATCACACACACACACACACACACACACACACACACACACACACACACACACACACACACACAAAGTGACTGTGGCGGCGGCAAACATACTGGGAGTCTTGACAAAGCAAATATGGCGACATGCACAAGTGTTATTAGTAAAAAATATTTTAATAAACATACCAAAACATAAACACTGTCATTAGCTTTGCACAGGGTTTCTGCTGCTTCTTTAAAGCTCTTAAAATAAAACCAGGGAAATCAAGGTCATAAATTGTCTTGAATTCATCCTAAATTAGCTGTAGGTAACAAATTTGCCGATGCTGCATTTAAGCTTGGTGGGAAATTTGTAACACACAGTCTAATTATGCTGTATTTGTTTGATTAACTTACCATTAGACAATGCAAGACCCTGCCATTAATATCTATTTAATGTTACGTTTACATTAGCTGCTGTAGTTGACATTTTTCGTTATCGGCAGCCGTGGTTGCAAGATAGGAAGATGCAAGTCTTAACAGATTATAAATTGATCTATAACTACAGACTCTTTCTAAAGTGTCTCTTTTCACAATAATTTGTTTTCCTCCATGTTTACCTCTCTCTTTAGCAGTGCGCAGGCTACCGTAAAACTTATTAAACTGATTAATAGCCCGGGCTTTTATTTGGAAAAATCACTGAATTGACCTTAACTTTCTTTGGGACAGACCTTTAATTCCTCTTGCACAAAACTGAAATAGGCTACAAACAGAATATTACTTGTATTAAAATTATTATATATTCACGTCTTGGATTCACTGTTTTGATTATTTTGATCGGTGGACCCTTCCAGACTGAAGGCAGATAAATAATCAAGGAACGGACACATTCTGACTTAACGAGCGCTTGAAAGGTAACGGGAGTCGGCGCCTTTCTCTTTCTTTTCATCTTTTGTAGCCATGCAGGTTACATCAGCATGTCCACACTGACATGTTGATCATACGTTTAAACATTAATATTTGTATTAACGATCTAAGCAGCTTAGAAGCAGCTAAAGCGGGCAACCCCGCAGGGTTTAAGAGGTTTTATACATCCAAAGAACTTCTTTAAAAACCAGACCAGGCGTCTAATGGCGAGCTGCTTTTTTTTTGTCAAATTGTGTTCCCCCACCAGGCCAGGAAACGGGGGAAGGCGGCTGTTTGGGATTCAAATCAGCCTGAAAGTGAAACTTATGAAAGTCTCGCCTGGTCTTGTTTCCTTGCTACCTTTCTTTATAATGTGTATTCCTTTGTGTTTTAGTATTTTAAATTGAGTTTAAATTACTTAAATTACTGCACGAGTTCAAGTTCACAAATGGACACGATCAGTTCACCAAAAACATGAGCATGTTCAATAATCGGTGCTGTTTGAACACGTTTATGCACTGGATGGAAAAACTACATGTGTTTGCTGTCAGACTGCGAGCGGTACGTATTTCCGCCTACGTAGCTGTTGTGTGCAAAAATATAAACAGCCACTATGTTTCCTTATTCGGAATATGCAAATATGGCATTGCCTCGTTCATATCTCCTTTATATCAAAGACATTGTTTCGACACAAAAACATTGAATTTGACTTTAAAAATGGTGCGAGAACCGTGTTGCATGACTGTTGAGGACTGCGTCATCGTTTTAAGTCTTGGGATTCTCCGATTCGGCCTGGACGTCAGTTTTCACAATCTCATTTTAACCGTAGCCTCTACTGCTTGTTTTGAGTGTACCGCTAGGCCCTTAAAACAGATTATAATTGTCTTGAAGAAAATTACCATATTACACTGAAATGACATTAAACCAAGAATAGCCATGGTTAAAATAAATTATACCAAGAAAATACTTGTATTCTGGGAACTTTCTTGTAGCCCTACCCCTCTATAACAACAAGAATCGGGACCCCTAGACGTGAGCTTGCAAAACGGAGGGGTAGGGCCAAGTGGTGAAATGGGATTGCGTCTTAGCCTCGTCAGTGGACCTTGCAGTCAAACTGGCTCTTCCTTTCTGTTACCCTTCATTCTGCACAACAAAGATCCTGCACGCACACGTGCATCCGATACACACAAAAGCATACTAATACACGTGCCCACGCATAAACTTTGCAGTAACCAGAGTGTCCTTGTCACCTTGGCAACTGTCAGGAGTTCACGTATGTTGTGAATGTGTTTTTCGTCTCTATGTGAGATGATTCACTCACCTCTTTCTTGCTGCTTCTGTCTCTCTTGTTCTGCTTAGCGCTGAGCCTCCTGTGCAAATCGATAGCTTCACTGAGCCTCGGTTGCTTGTCTTGCTTAACTTTGGGGGAGTGTGTTTGTGTTCAGCAAGGCAAGCTTGGTTTCCCCCTGAACAATCTATGTGTGTGTGTGTGAGAGAGATATTAGGGAGTAATGCTGGCTTTATTTATTCCCATACAGCAGATAAAAGCAGAGTGGAGATAAAATGCGGCTCTGCTCTCTGGATCCCTGCAGGCCTCTGCTTTGGTCTCGCCTCTGTTTACTCTGACAGAGTACACTGTTAAAGAAGAGGGAATACACATTTTCACAATGTTCACAAAAAAACAATCTTCTGAGAGCCCACAAGGTTTATGTGGCTTTGATTAGGGACCGTATTTTGCTTTAAGACGTTTTCCTGCCTTATCCAGAATATTTAATGTAATTTATGAGAAGAAGTTGTTGCTTTTTATTTTCATGCACCAGAATCCCTCTGAACTGTGCAGTTATAAACCACCTACTTTGGCTCACTATACAGCAATTCTGCGATAATCAATATTGTTAGACAATCCTAAAATGACACATCACGATATCTAACTATGACTACAAAATTACTGCGAAAAGGTAAAGTTATCGCTATTTTAACAGCACAAGTCTGCAGCACACGTTTTTCAATCTTTAAATTAAAATTACAGAACTATGAAAAAATTTATATAACAAACATTTCTTTATAAAAAGAACAAAAAAAATGCAAATTTACTGTGTACCACCTAAGTCTAATATGTACATCACATTATATTGTGTGAAAATGTGTAGTTTATGTTAAGATTATTGCAATGCTAATGTCTGTTAGCAAGTTAATGGAGATTCCCATTATACGTTAGCATTGAGCTAACTGTAATAGCGCTATTTTTATTTTTAAATATATCGATATGATGGGCTGGAATATGATACAGTATTATACCACAAATAATATGGTGTAAACCATGGGTGTCATGTCATAGTCCAGTATCAAATTGCATTGCAACTTTTATATTGTCAATTAAACTTTTTTTTTTTTTTTCAATTAATTGATGGGACATTTTTCTGTAATATAACTGAAGATTGTGCTTGTTTTGTCCTGTCCAACACCCAAAGATAATTAATTTACAATAATTGAACCCTTTTATCCATGAAGTATTAAATCACAAAGTAATTTTTTTATTGTTTGTTTTTACTTTTAAACAAGTGAAGAATTATGCCTATAAACTTTTTTCTCCCCAATATATTGATTTTTAAATTATTTTTTTTTAAATGGGTCCACTGCAGTAAACCCCATCAATGCATCAACGCCATCAAAAGTGGTTCAGTTGGTCCATAAATGTGTTTGCAAAGAATTTGCGTCGATGCATTTTAGTAATCGATTTAATCGATGAGTCTCTATTTGTTAACAATAACACTTTCTGGCACTATGCAGACTTAAAAAAAAATAAACCAAAGATACGTCTTCCTTCCCCGTCTGCAGCCCTCCTCTTCTTGTCCGCCTCAACTTCTTTCTCTCCATCCAAATCTTTCTATTTTCTTTCCCTTCTTTCCAGATAATTGAATCTCAGACACACACACACACTTATTTACAGAGGACACACTTCTTATTGATCTCACACTAACATCCCGTCCTTCAATCCAGACTCTCTCAGGCAGCTCTCTGTGGTTAGTGTTTTATTTATTAGACTGTATCACACACACACACACACACACACACACACACACACACACACACACACACACACACACACACACACACACACACACATACATGCACTTATCTGTGCTTGTCTTTGATAAGCGCACCTGGCACTGTGGCTCAGCTCTTGATTGACAGGTGGACTGATTGCATGCAGGGATTGATTAGTGAGGTCTAGTGAGGCGGAACTTCCTCCTGTCAATCAGAACAGGAAGTGGAACATGTCTGTTGTAATTACAGTGGATTTTATTGGCTTTTACGTGTGTGTGTGTGTGTGTGTGTGTGTGTGTGCATGCAGGGGTGGGGTCTCATGGATTTCGCTGGCTTTTTAAAGCTCAATAAATAAAACCGTAAACTGAGCTAACTGGATTTGAAAGGTTTTATTAGCAGGAAATCAATGACTGTGTGACAGTCTTCTTCTTTTTACCCTTCGGTCACATATTTGTGATAGAAACGTTTGCCTGTAGAGCATTAGCAATGATCCAAACTTATTGACGTGCACTGCTACTGATCCACAGGTGGCATTCATCAAGTTAAAACAAGCAATTTACAACAAGCATGTGCTGATAATTAAGAGGGTTTGCTTCCATCCAACTTGGAAGACTCCACTAAGCAAACCTGACAGAAAGGGGGAAGTTTAAAATTACATTAAGATGGAAATGTTTTTTTTTTTTTTTATGTCAACATTGGTTTAAAGGGATTTGGACAGTCTACTTTGAAGTGTGCAAGTGTACATATTATTCACAGAATAATGTTCTGCTTTAAAGTTCAAACTACTGTAAGAGACACCCCAAATGTAGACAATAACTGGGACTAAGATTGCACTAAAGACTGTGTGTTTGTGTGTGTCGTCCTCAAACCCTGGGAACTCTGGTTAATGATGTTTTTTAAACGTGGTGTGGTTTTCAAATTTGCACTTTTAGACCACTGTGTGTACATTTTTGGGATCTTACATAGAGTCTGACAGCCACATCACATAGGAGGCAGGACTAAATTACACAGCGCTTGGTCTCCCACAGAAACGCAGTAAGGAGGTCTTCGTCTTTGCCTGCTGCTTTTGCCAGTTCTCCCTGACTGCCTCTGGTGAACGTACAGAAACGACTGTGCCTCAGTGCGTTTGAAGTTTCGGCTATTTTTAGGGCTCATTATTTTTGTTTTCTTTTTCTAAAAGAACATTTGGAGATTCATTGGAAGTGTAAATGTTGTGTAGTTTGGGACCTAGACTTTGATCTGCAGGATCACCAGCAGCTCTTCTCTCTTTTCCCTCAAGTGTTCTCCTCACGTTCTGTCAGTGGAACCATATTTCCAGCTGTTCTCACAGCTAGTTTACTCTAATCTACTTAGTGTCATCTTGTAAGAAAAATCACCATGTTTTTGATTTGTATTTGTATAGCACCTTTCTAGTCTTTTCGACCACTCAAAGCGCTTTTACACTACATCTGCATTCACCAGTCACACACATTCATACACTGAGCCTAAGTGCTCAAACGGTCACACACTTTCATACACTGGGGGAACAGCCGCCAGGGGCAATTCGGGGTTCAGTATCATGCCGCTGAAATTAATTTAAAACCTGAAAAGTTGTCAGTGTTTGTAAAACTACGAGTCTAAGATATGGAATGTTTAACATTTGGCTCTGCAGGTAAATTCCTGTTAGTTTTGATATATCCAGTTTGTTCTCCTCATTGTTACATCATTTTCCACAAACAATCATTAAAACCAAAAATATTCACACTTTGAACACTTTCTTCTTTGTCCCTCATTATTTTCTCTCTCTTCCTCCACTTTGCAAACAGCACCATCATCATCATGTCGTGATCACTTGATCACAGCGAAGCACAATATGTCACAGGAATAATTGTCAGTGCGCAATGTAGTTATATGGATAACATGGATTAAACGAAGCATCGATGCAAAGAATTTGTATCTATGCTTTCTGGTAATCGATTTAATTGATGAATCGTTTCAGCCCTACTGTACGTTAGACTATTTGCAGACAAAGTCCTCTGCTGCTTGATAACATCGTAACAACACCCTCCGACAAATGACGATTGCTGGAAAAGGGATTGAACTGGTTAATGACTACAATTATTCGAATCGAACGCCATCTCCTGGTTGAAAAGCAGCTAATTTACTATCCATCCACCAAATTATCTCTCTGCCCAATTATAATCTTTTACCGTCTTTGTCATGTGTGCCACAATAAAGGTAAACATGAGTTGTAATTTTGTGTGGCTGAAACGACCCATATGGTTGTTATTCCGTTGAGGACAGGCAGAAGTATCACATCACCTATTTAGCGTGTACGAGCTGTTACCATCAGGCAGACGGTGAAGGGTGCCATCCCTCTGAACCAACAGGGCTCGCAGATTATTCATGCCTACCAGTATTGCGCTTCTGTGAGGATGCTGCAGCTTGTTATAATATGTAAAACACTTTGCTGATGTTTTTGTTGCTATTGTAGTTGTCCGTTTGTTGGTTGCTGTATGGATTTTCCGAACGGACTAATAAATGTGTATATAATCTAAATCTAAACTTGTCTATAAAGATATTTACATGTCGTTGGCACTGAACAAGACTGGTAGTATATTCCCAAAAATAAAGCTGTTTATTGATTTAGAAATTGTGCTTTTCTTACGTTTCTTTCCAACAATATATAGGATGTGTTAGCGAACTATCTGTATCCATGTTTCCATCTAATTGTCATGTGAATTTTAAGCGTACTTTTGAAATGTCGCAAAAAAAAGTGTTTCCATCTCTCATCTAGCCATTTACTCTTTTTTGACAAAGGCAAAAACCACCTCAAGAGAGCGTAAAAACTTTTTAGCAAAATTAAGGATTTTCCCCCGAATCTTGCCGTTTCTGATGCGACGCTTCAAAATGCGCGTTAAAAAACCTTGATGGAAACACGGCTTGTGTGTTTCTGTGCATCTAAACATAGCCACGATGAGCCGAAGCACACGCAGTAAACGTGGCAGAGGGGGATTATTGACAGCTTGGCGGCTTATTTAGAAACCTGCTTTACTTAGCTTTATTTGCTCCCCCTCAAGAATTTGTCTTGTAAGCATACACACATGCATGTACGCACACACACACACAAATACATGGTCGTTAATTAGGAGAGTGAGCTATTGCCTCTCTAATGGAGCAGGGCAGGGACATTCTGGACTGTGGTGATGTATGGTTTTAGGTCTGAGCCGACCCGCCGGCCTCTTCTGGCCTAATACCTAATGTCCAACATCAATCACACTAACAGGGTTACAGTGTGCACGCCGCTCTCTGGCTTTCTATCGCTTCCGTTTCCTCCTGCCACCGTCCTCTTTGTCTTCAGCTAGGAACCTTTCACTTTAGGTCAGCCTGATTTTTCTTTAGTTTTGTTTTACT